CTACATCCAACCCTAAGATAATCAGGGGTGGAGGGATTGGGCAGGGAAAGCTGCCCACATGCACACTTGCCATTGAGATTCTTGGGCTGGACTATGGTATGACTGTGTTAGCCCTGGGGGATGCAAAGATGATAGTTTCCATATTTCCTTAGTTGGCAGCCTTCCATCCTTCCGGGGTAGGTAAAATGAGGACCCAGATTGTTGGGGGCAATGTAAATATATATATATATATATATATATATATATATATATATATATATATACATTGCTTACTGGTGTACACCGCTTAGAGAGTGCTTGCACTTAAAAGCGGTATATAAGTCTCATAAATAAAAAATAAAATAAAAAAAATATTCTCCAGAAAAGTACAGTATATAAGCTGCAAAGCCAAGACAGATGAGCTGGCATTAGTGCTGCATTGACAACCTCTTACTTATTTAATCATCCATTTATTCCTAAGATACACTGAAATGAAAAATAGCAAAGCAGAGAGAGTAGTTTGTTGCTAAACGCAGGGAAGACTAAAATGGCAGAGATGAAAGTTTATTAGTTTAGAATACCACACTGCAACAGAAGTGCAGAAAACTACAATTACAATACAATTAAAAATCTGGGAGAACTCAAAGGTCTATGCCTGGTCCCAAAAAATGACAAAGGAGGCCCTAGGCATGCCTTTTTGGGGAATGCATTCCAGAGATGGAGGGAGGGGTGACTACTACCGAATATGCTGCTTGCTCTATCTCAGGAGCATTTCCTCCTGTGCTTTTCTCTGGACTCAGGCAAAATATATCCAGGAAGGGATACTTGTTCAAAAATTGTGATCCTCAAGTTGTATAGAGCTTTCTAGATTAGGACTGGTACTCAGAAATGAACTGGAGCCAACATCACTGATGTAATGTTGCTGTAATTTAATTATAACCTCCAGTTTATAACCTTTTATAATTTTAGATATATTTTTGCATGTGAGGGAGAAAAATGTAAGAAGCTATCTTGTACCAGGCTGAAGCATTGATTCACCCCTCTCAGTACTGTCTTTTCGTACTGGGGTACATCCCCCCAGGTTCCTCAAATTGAAGTTTTTGGTGTTACTTTCCATCTCATTCTTTGAACTAGAAATACCAATATATTAGAGGTCTAATTGGACCTCTAATATATATAACATATTTGCCCATTTGCAATGTTTTCTTCCAGGATCTGCTAATGTGGGATTTTACAGTTCCAAAGGCAGTAAGATTTCTCTTGACTGCTAACAAACATTATTATTTTTACTGAGTTTGGCACCAGTAGTAGGATGACATTTAACTGAGTGATTCCTTTGGGTCACTCTTTGCTTTAGGGATAAGAAATATTTCTTGGGTTGTTATTGCCCTCTAGTTTAAACGTACTGGAATTTGATTATCAAGTGCAAACTTCATTTTTCCTTTGTGGTGTATATAGTTGGATTTTGCAATTGGTATCTCAGCTTATTTTCAAATGTGTGATTGTCATGATCAGTTTGTTCATAGAAAAAAATGATAAAGGCTTTTTTTGAAAACTGGAAATGATTTGTTTATTCATTTATTTTTCGTATTTCTAAATTGCCTCAAAAGTTAAAACTCTGGCTACGCTTCTCAAAGAGGGAGTCTGAATATGGACTTCTTGTTGGAAAAAAAATCAAAGTGATTTAGGGATTTGGGGATTAAAAGGGACAAAGAGGTTGGGAAAAGGTTTGACAGCAATTACTTGATAGAATGGTGGAAGACCTAATTGTCCCCCCCTCTATTTCTTACTTTCTACCTTCGGTCTTGTTTGTTCTGTATATTTTTACTCCACTGACAAATTCTAATTTTATATGTATGCGTGTATCCATGATTGTCGATTTTGGCAATATATTTACTAGGTAGCCTCTTTGAGTGTTTAAGAAATTACAAAAATGGTTAAGAAAAGATTAAAATAAAATCTACACAAGGCACTAACTATTGCTGTAATTTATTTGAGAAATGGTTTAAAAAGAGAAAAACTACGGATGAAGGGAAAGAGCCCTCAAGGTTATGGGAGAAACAATGGCCCAATCTGAACAACTTAATTGCAAGGAAAATGTGAATCAAAACGAATGCTAAAACCCGGAGGCGCTCGGGTTGAGATAATTATCTGTGAATTTGTCGTTTTGTCGTAGTGTGAAGTTAATCATTAGAGCACTAGACGCTAAGGCACATTAGGAAGATTACTCTTTAGGCTAGTACGGCGGAGGGACCAACCCAGCCCTTGCATTTGTGTGTAGCGAGGCACGTTGTGTCATCTCAGGACACCGGGGTGAATGCTTCCTACACTTAAGCCAGGTGTCTCCTGCAAACGGGCAGAACCAGTGCTAGTTCTTGCTGGTGCAAGTATATCCACCCGCCTTATTCACGCAATTATTATTATTTCATTGCAACGTCTGAAGCCGAGACATCCGTTAAGAATTTCCTAGAAAATAAGGTTTTTCTTTAATGACGGACGAAACTGTCCCCGTAAATGTAAACGGAGCAATCTGGAGCACGAAAGTCCCGCCGAAATCCACAGGGCTTAATTCTAAATCAATGCAAAGCGCGCAAAGAGGCACCCCGAATCTGGGTCAATGCAGAGCCGGCGGGGAAACACTCCTGAGGAGAAGCCTGGAGAAAGCATGGGAGTGGCCAATGCCGCGCCGTCTTTTAGCTTGCAAGAGAGTCAAGCAAGCGGAGGGGGCGGGGCATCGATTGCCTCAGCCTGAGTGGTCGAAGCCGTGGGCGTAGCTTAATTCACGGCGGTCCGGCTGGTGAGATTCGTTGCCCTGGGTTACCCGCGGGTAACTCAAGAAGCGTAGACCTCACAGAAGGGAGGTTCCCTTCGCCCGCCAAACGCGTCTCCCCCTGCCCTGCCTCCTTCCTTTTCTTTCTTTTTTTTAACGAAATGCTGGCTGGGATCGAGCCAATGAAAGCGCGCGGAAGTCTGGATCATGTGCCGCGCTCCTTCCAATCAGGAGGCGGCACAGGGTCAGGTCAGTGTAACGATTTGGAGCAAGCCAGGGAGAAACCCGGGAAGCCAGCGGGAGGAGCTGCGGAGGGAGGGGGGGGGGAGAGCAGCTGAGCCTCATTACAAGGCGGGGAGGAAGCCGGCTTGTCGCGTGTATGGATGGGAGCGTCTCCCAGAGAATCCCCCCCGGGCTTCATGCGCCCTGCAGACTGTGCAGGGAAGGGGGTCCAAAGCCCTTCGCATTTCCAGGCTGGCGCCTGAGTGTGAGGAGAGACCCCCTTACTCTGGATGATGCCCTGAAGGCACGTGGGACTACAACTCCCATGCGCCTGTAAAGCACCTCTTTCCTTCCTCACCCCGAGAAAAGCAAAGCTCATCGGCCGAGCCGGCAGGAGCGGCGCCTGTTTGGTGACTGCAGCCGGACGGCGGCATGTCCGGGCAGGGTACCAAGCCGCCTCGGCCCCAGCGCTGTCCGGCGGCGGCGGCGGCGGCGGCTGCTGCTGCTGCTTGGGTCCCCCTCGGCTGGGAAATACCCGGCGTGTTGTGGTCACGTGTCTTGTCCGACTTCGGGGTCAGGGACGGTGCAAGCCGGGCGGGCAGCCGGTGCAACTTTGGCACAGCGGGCCAGCAACCGGGGAAGCGCGGCCAAAGGAGGCGGGGGGGGCGGGCACGCTGCTCCACCTCCACCTAGCCCTCGTGTAAGGTGCTGGGCGAGGCCTGGCCTCCCCCTCCCCCCCCAGCCGGCCCTTCCAGCTCCTTCTCCCCCCTCCCCGAAGTGCGGCCGGCTCGCCTGGCGATCTGGTTGACTGCCCTTCCCGCGCGCGCTGGTGCCAGTGGCAGGCATGCTTCGTTCCGCTCTTGATGCCGGGTGACGAGGGGGCAACGAAGCAGGGAAGGGAGAGTGGCGGTCGCTCCCGCCGCCGTTTCCACCGCTTTCTCCTCTTCTGCTGCCGCTGCTGCTGCCGCCGCCTCTTCCTCCTCCTCCTCAGCATGTTGCCATCCCGTCGGGTCCCCAGAGAGAGGCGGCGCCCGCTCGGGGCGGCACGAGCACAGCAGCAGCGGGAGGAGAAGCAGGAGGAGGAGGAGGAAGACGACGGGTTGGCCAGGAAGATGACAGCGACGGCGACCAGGGCTGGCTGCTGCGCCGAGCCTGCCAGAAGCAGCAGCAGGTGCTAATCGTCAGAGCGCGCTCTGGCTGCCTGGCCAATCGGCTGTCCAATCTAGCCGGTGCCTGCCGGCTCCCGGTGCGAGTCTCCTCCGTCGTCGAGGAAAGGACGGCGCGATCATGGTGGCGCTCGCCCCGCGCCTCATCCCTGTCTCCGGACCCCTTAGCGGTGGATTCTTCCGCTACGCCCGAATCGTCGTTTGAATTTTTTATTTTTGCATATTTTGAAATTCTCCTTTCTGTTTGCCCTCTCACGGCTTGGAAACCTTTTCTCTTCGAAGCAAGCGAACTGCTTTGGCCTCGAGCCTGGATTCTCCCCGGAAAGCTGAAGGCAACCCTCGAAAGCACGCCGCGTCTCCTGCGCCCAGCACTCCAGCTGTTCATCTGTTGCTCGAACGGGCGTTCCCCGCCTTCCTCTTTCGCTGGGCTCGGTGAAGAGAGCCGCCGCCTTTGGCCGTTCTTTGCCTTTCGAGCGGAGCTCCGAGAACCGGCCCGGCTGCACTGTGGGCTTCGGGCTCCCTGCCGCTCTCGTTTCCCTCCTCCCTTCCCACCGCTCCCCCGACGCACCTTCCTCCCCAAAGCCGGCGAGGCAACGTCTCCAATCCCGCCTCCCTCGCGCTCTTTCTCTTCTCCCCGACCCACTTTGGTGCGATGCTGCCGCCGCGGAGCGTCGCTTCCTAACGCGCCGTCTGCTCCGGAGCTGCCAGACGACGCTTTGGGCGGGGAGGTGGAAACCTTTGGCTGGAATTTTTTACAAAGGAGACCCGTCTCTTCCCTTTCCCGGGATATAAAGCGGAAAAAAAAGAGAGGGGAAAAAGGGGGTGGGGGTAAAGGCGGCTGCGGGGGGGGGGAGGGGAGGAACATGGATGAGAAGCTGCAGGCGCATCAGGTTGACATCGACCCGGATTTTGAACCTCAGAGTCGGCCTCGCTCTTGCACCTGGCCGCTGCCTCACCCCGACTTCCCGGGCGAAGAAGACGATGGAACCGGCGGTGCGGGAGGCGGCGGCGGCGCCCCTAAGCACCCCTTGGCCGGCGGCACCGAAGGCGCTGAGAACGCCGGCGTGGCGACGGAGCGTGGCAAAGCGACCCCTGCGCTGCCTTCTTTGAGCGCGGACGTTGGACAGCTCCGCAAAACGAAGACTTCGCGGCGGAACGCTTGGGGCAACCTGTCGTACGCGGATCTCATCACCAAGGCGATCGAGAGTTCCCCGGAGAAACGGCTCACCCTCTCCCAGATCTACGACTGGATGGTCCGATACGTGCCCTATTTTAAGGATAAAGGCGACAGCAACAGCTCCGCTGGCTGGAAGGTACCTGGGGGTCCTCACCGCCTTGCGTCCTCCCCTCCCGCCTCCTACTCCCGCTTACTAGATACCTAGTTTCAAGAAGCGCTGGGGAAGTTTTTTTTACTACTCTCTTCCTCCGTGGGTAGAGGGATCTCCAGCGTGTCGGTTTAGATGCCCAGAAGAAGGGGCTGACCAAGTGGTTTCTGTCTTCCCGGGGCTGCAAGGAGGGGTTAATTAAAGGCTGTTCAAATGCTGGTCTTCTCCCCCTTTATTCCATCCTTACTTGAAAAAAGAGGTTTGCAGCATTAGTTAGTGTCTACTTGGAGTATTAAAGTAATGGCAGGGGTGGCCAACCCTGAATCCCGAGAGAGACTGTGGCATCCTTGCAGCATATGTCTGGTCATAAAAGGGCAAGGCCTTTGGCTTTATTGCAAGAGTTTCTGCCCCCCCCCCCAAACCAACTCTGTTTGAGTCCAGAACTTGATTCTTGAGACCTTTCTCTATTGTCTTTGATTCAGGAAGGCAAGTTGCTCTCGTAGCCTTATTAAAGCCAGGTTGGAGAGCATTTTTGCTTCTCCCCTAAGCCAGAGGAGAAGAAAGTATTGTTGGCAGTAGTGAAGAGGGTGCTAGTGATTGCTTTTAAATGTATATAATTTTTCTTCTTCTTGGCACTGGGGAAGAGAGAGGTCATTTATCAGTAGCCTGGTCACTTATTCAACTATTTTGGCCAACCTCCCACATATCCTTCTGCTTCTTCGCTGCTTCTTCACTGCCTGGCAGCAAGAAGGTGGGAGGGGGAAAAATGATTCCCTCCCTCTCATATTGCAGTTAAGTGGCACCTGTCTGTCTGGTAGGGAGAGAGCCAGAAGTACTTTTTGAAGCTTTCTTCTGCTCTGCTTGATTGAAATGCTACTTGGAGAAAGGACATTTGGGGGGGGGGGAGGGAATGTTTTCAGCTTTTTGCTTTTCAATTTGGGCAGTGGGTAGGTGGATAGGATGAGTGGGGATGATGCTGGGGGGATGACGGGGGGAAGAGATCTTTTTTCTTCTGGAATGCAGCCTGGATTCTTGAAGCCTCTATCAATATCCCAAGGAAAACTTGAAATGTGATTCCTTCTACTAAGTTACTTGGTCTTTCCCCCATGCTGAGCCAGTGAGACAAATGTTACTAATCCCATATGGATTCCACCAGATCCAAAACTAGACATTTAATGAAATAGCCCTCGTGTGCCCATTGCAAACTTTGTACATGGACAACATCTCTTTCCTGAATCAAAATGGGATTTAGTCTACTTTTATTGATTTATTTTTTGCTTCGGTTTTTTTTTCTAAGGTCAGGTCATGGATAGAAATTTGGTTATTTGGAAAGTCATTGCTATGATATGCTCTTAACGGAGGGGCTTGGAACAGAGTTTCCCCCACATGTGTATCAGCCCTGGAGAACCCTTGTAAATCTGGAAATAAATGATAGGGGGAAAGAAGACAAAAGAGTGATTTGTATTTTCTTTATCTCTCTCTTATCTGTTGATCTTATCCAGACAGAGTTAAGATGCCTACTCCTCACAATTTAACTCTGCCAGTTGAATTCCAGGCTGTTGCCTGTGATTTGTTAAATATTTCTATCAGTAGTAATTGATTCTTCTTTTATTGTGATTTAGTGCAGAATTAGGCTTCATTCCCTCAATTTACAAGAAAAATGTCTGTGTGTTTGGATGAGAACTGTTTCAGTGAAGGCAATTACAGTAACTCTTAACCTTGTCTTGTGTGAAAAAAAAGTATTTATGAAATGAGGCTGCCCTTCCACATTCACACCATGCCACATTGGTGATCAATTCTGGAAAGGGAGCAAAAAATAAGTTATATTGGCAGCAGAGGGTTCCCATTTTTTAAAACTTCTTTTTTACTCTCCAATTACTCAGTAACAACTGCTCCATCAAGTGTCTGCACTGGCATTATCTAAATATTTTCTGGTGGATCATAGTTCATGGGAATTGCTGAAGGAACAGTTTTTTGTTTCTTTGGATACAGAAATATTCTAGAAGCAGTGAAATGAAAGGTTAGACCAAGAGTTGTTGGCAGATTAGTTGGCAGATTTTTTCCCCCCATTCAGCTCAGCCTTTTCTAGTCTGATGCCCTCAAAATTTGTTGGGACTCCCAGAGTTCCCAACCAACATTACTGAACAGCCTGGGAATCCTGGTCGCTGTTTTCTTAGCACACTTGGAGAATGCAATCGGGATAGGCTAGGATCAGTCTTATTCAACCAACTGCTAATGGAAAATCATGTTTCCTAGTGGCCATGCATCTCATTCTCATTTTCTCTCTCTCCTCTGATCAAGAGTGGCCAATAGACCCATTTGGGTTTTGTTTAGAAGTGTGCTTTAACTGCTTATTTTATATTAGCAGGTTGAATGGATTATGTTTGTTCACCCTGGGTACCAAGGCTTGCCCAGTTAAATCTTCAAGAGTCTTCCTTTTAATACACAATATTTCTCAACCTTGGCCACTTTAAGATGTGTGGACTTCGACTTCCAGAATTCCCTAGCACAATGAATTCTGTGAGTTGAAGTCTATACACCTTAAAATTGTTAAGGCTGAGAAACACTGCAATATGGTATTAAGTTGACCAGTGAAATTTTAGGACTATAGTACAATATATATTTATTGCTCTAGGAATCCATGGCACAGCATGGACCTGTGCCATGGCTTGTTCAGAGTCCCCTGACAATTAATAACCACAATTTCTTCCCACCCTCAAGAATGTATACTTCATGAGGACCCACATGAAACAAATCAAGGCCATCTCTTTTTTGATGAAGCCAAAATGTTGTTTTCATTAAAAGCATAAAAATAATAAAACAAATCCAGCAGTGTATCTATGTAACATGTTAGTAGAAATTAGCAGGGATGATCGCATTTTTAACTTGCTACCATCTATTCATGGGAGAGTAGAAACATATGGAAAAGCTTCAAGATAGCATTCAGAGTTCAAGAGCTCTTATTATCTAGGTCTGCAAGTTGTCCAGTTTCCATGCTTTGGTTTTAGAAAAGCTCTAATGAAGTTTGTATAGTGAGGAAATCTTTCTCACTGGGAGTCAGTGAAACAATGGACACTAAAACTTTTGCCAGTACATGTGCTAGTTCAAGCTGAAATCTTTTGCTCCTCTTCATGGGGTAAATCAAAGGAATTATGCCAGTGGTGGGATTCAGCCAGTCCACACCACTTCGGCAGAACCAATAGCTAATTTTTTATTGCCTAGGCCCAGAATGGACTTCCGGAAGTGGCATCCACACAGAACTGGTTTGTCACATATTTGAATCCCACCACTGGATTCTGCCAAAATGTGTCTCAGCTTTTCAATCTGGATCTGCCTGTACGTGTTCTAGTGAGACTCTGCACTGGTGCTTTTAAGAGGTTCAGAAGTTAAGCAGCTGTTTTTTCCCCCTCCCTGATCCTCTTTCTCGAGAGGATTGCAACACTGGCATGAATCAGGTGCCATGAAGAACTAATATTGCAGATGAGAAATATTAGAAAATCTTTGCAGTTTGGGTTCTGAACTGTATGGAGGTTTGTCTGTCTACATACATTCCCTATATAAAAAGAGTATGGTGTAATAGAGGTGACTAGGTTCCAGTGGAACAGACTCTGGAATGGGGTCAGAATGTCAGGTGAACTTGTTTTATGCATCTGTTGTGTTTGTTGGAACTAGGTTATGGGCCTTGAGCGTAACTTATATTTACATTTTTTTTGTTTTTCATTTGCCGTTTATTGTGGATTTTTTTTAAAATCTGTGTTACCTACCCAGAGTCACTTGTGGGAATGGATGGCCTTAAAAATACATGATTAAATAAATAAATAAATGAAGAGAAGCATTCATTTGAAGAAAGATCCAAAATATATTCTAATGAACATTATTTTTCTAATTCTGTTTCATGCCTTCAAAGAAAAAAAAAGATTTGGTGCAGTAATAAGTGGTTGTGCACCAATCAAAGACATTTTAGATGAAGGTTTTTGAAAGGCTCTTATTGAAATGGCAAATGATTGGTGAGGGGCTGTTTCAGACCTGCTTGCATTATCTTAGACTCCTCTCTTTTCATGCTAAGAGTCCTAGTGTCAATTTACCGCATCTCAAGGCAGGGCTGGAAGAAAATGCTGTTGAAAAAACCCCTAAAAATTGGCCAGAGTATGCACAAATTTCCATTGATCATCTTATGGCACCTGTCCTGATAACTTCTAGTTGAAATGGGCAGATATGACTTGATAATGCATGATGGTGTCTCACATGCTTGTACTTGGTCATGCTGGGAACTGAGAAGAGAGGTTGTCCTAAAGGTGCTTTTTCAAGAGGCAACTGGACTTTCTTTATTTTTCCTTGAATGACTAAGAATTTTCATAGTCATGGAGAAGAGATGTTGTAAGGTTTAGGTGTCCCATGGCAAAGGAACTCGAGAGCTTTCTCTTTTGGCAGTGAATCCTTCAGTTGTGTTGCTAAAAGTAGTAGAAGCTGCATTGTTGATTACCATACTGGGAATCTGTGATTTTGAACTTTTGGTATTCCTGGTCCAGGCTGGCATTCTCTTTCCAAAGTCTATTTTGTCTGGGATGGTCTCTGACAATTAAGCCCAGCTGCTGATTCTTCCTTATTGGTGATCAGCAATACAGTAGTTTCAGTTGTTTTTAATTTTGGAGTTTTACAGAGACATTACTTTACCAAAGTGCATTACCAAAGTATTTTCTCAGGCTTGTGATCCAGGCCCTCTATTGTATTGCCTGGTCTGTAATTTCTTCTTCTCACCCCTCATTCTTTCTTCTCTTTGTTTCTCTAAACTATTTTCTCCAATTCAGTTTCCCCTTCCCTGTTCATAATTCTGAATTCTGGGACATTTTATGCAAGAGTCTTACCCAATATTCTAAATCCTAAACCGAGTCAAAACCAACCAAAATTGATGCATTTAGATTGTATGCTACATCCAGACAAATAAACCATATTATGGTTTACCATGATGACTGGTTATATAACATGCT